TAAGCAGTAATAGTAGGTTTAGTATCAATAGCAGTAGAAACGGCTGTAATACTATTAGCCATAGTAGTATTTGTAATAACATTAGTAGTAGTTGTAGTATTAATAGCAGTAGAAATACTAGTAGTATGGTAGTAGAAGTATCAGTTGTAGTACTAGAAGTACGAGTAATATTCGTAGTGGGAGACAGAATGTTTGTTATTCAAACTAAGAAGTTTTTAATTAATGACCTCATCACAAACATTACAGTAAAAATTCCCTCCATGGGGCTTTTATTTTGAAATTATTGGATTGGGTGGGGTGGGGGGGTGTAGATAGATGGAGGGTGACAGGGTGAGGAAGGGAAGGGTGGTGAGGAAGAGATAGAGGGAGAGAGAGAGAGAGGAGGAGAAATAGACAGACAGACTGACTGAGAGTGATAAACAGTGAGAAGAGGTCAGGGTGGAGGGGGGAGGGGGGGCGAGTGTCTTTATCATATTGGTCTGTTGACAGAAAGCATAGCTGTGTCATGTGACTCCACTAATCAGGTCATAAGAGCAGCTGTGAGTCACAGACAGAGATCCTGCAGCGTGTTTACGAGTAACCACGGCAACGGCGCACCTATTGGATTGGGTGGGGTGGGGGGTGTAGATAGAGGGAGGGAGGGTGAGAGGGTGAGGAATGGAGGGGTGGTGAGGAAGAGATAGAGGGAGAGAGAGAGGAGGAGAAATAGACAGACAGACTGACTGAGAGTGATTAACAGTGAGAAGAGGTCAGGGTGGAGGGGGGAGGGGGGGCGAGTGTCTTTATCATATTGGTCTGTTGACAGAAAGCATAGCTGCGTCATGTGACTCCACTAATCAGGTCATAGGAGCAGCTGTGAGTCACAGACAGATCTTGCAGCATGTGAGTGCTCGTAACCACGACAACGACGCACCTGTGCTCATTAACGAGCTGCTGCAAAAAGGCAGAGACATGGCAGCAAGTTACACAGAATCCACACCTCAAACAAATGAGAACCAGCGCAAAACTATAACAGCTATCTAAAAAATACGGCGTTTTTATGAGACCCAAGACTCTACCGAACGCGTGGATGTGTGTTTTATGTCTGTCCGGTAATAAATACGGCTTCTATGGCCGTTGACAAAATGTGTACCTTGTGGATTTTTGTGAGAAATATGTCGGCAGATTTGTATTGGAGCCTATGGGGCTTTTGGCAGAGGTTGTGTCACTCTAACACTCCTTGCGCCAAAACTAAAAAACTCTGGGATTCCATGAACACATTAATCCAATCAGCACAACCATACCCTCATTAATCTGAAGAAATGAAGCCTCTAGAGTGTATACTTTGGCTGCAAGGACAGAAGTTCCATACTTTTTTAACCAGATTCCTGCGCTGCTTCACCCTCTAGCCCTCGAGGTCCCCCTCTAGCAGACGCAATACACACTCATGTAAAAGTCAGAAACGGAGCGAAGAACTAGTGAAACATAATCAGTGATTATAAAAAAAGTACAATAGATATCAACAAGCAGTTTTTTTCCTAAAATAGTTGAGACTTGTGTGAACATTTGAAAGTTCAAATGGTGTCTGTAGCTGAAAGATTTGCGAAGCTGAAAAATCTGAAAGTTGAAGAAGTTTAGGAGGATTTGAAAGCAAACTCCATTTGAAAACCATGTTAAAATATTAATGATTTTTGATTTATATAAATTCAAGCATAAGAGGTAGAAAGCTGAAAAGTCATAGCCCTCAAGCCAGAAAGGAGCTGAACATTTTAATATTTGAAGGATTTTAATAGCTGAAAATGTGAAGGAGTTGAAAGGGGGCGCGGAAGAAATAGAAGAAGATGAAGAAATAAAGATTCGAAGAACAATACTTGGAATGCATCTCAATGCATTCCAACAATAAAGATTCAAAGAATAATACTTGGAATGCTTAATGCATTCCAACAATTAAAAGGAAACTATCAATAGTCACATGATCATTTGACTTCAGACGGATAGGACCCATCCCGAAGGTGTCACTCAGCGATAACCAGGACATTCTGATGTACCATTCCAAAATTAAAGCCGAGCCACTCAGCAGCTGGCAAACTCTGCACAGGTGGACTCCAATCACCTCCATCACCTTGGGATCCGGGAAGCACCTGCAAGACAAGGTGGAGGGGCAGAACAACACAACAAAAAGCTCTGCAGGCATGTAACACTTGGTTATGTTTTGTTCTTGTTTTGTGTCTCTCAGTTGTTTCGTTCTGTTCAGTTAGATTACGTTGTAGTTTTTCTGTGTCTTGAACAAATCGTGATTTGTCCCCCAGAAGTTAATTTATACACTTTGTATTTGTTTTTGTTTTGGAGTGCGTGGGGCTGCAGCAGCGTGGCTACCTGGATGGTGGTGGGGCTGGTTGGACTGAGCCTCTCACTTTCTCCTCCCATTTTTCTCAGTTGCATGTTTTTGGTTTTGATTTAGATTGTTTGGCGTGAGTGTGGATGCGGCACTGGAGGGAGTGAGGGTCTTGTCCTAGAGCTTTTCCCCCCCTTTTCCCCCTTCTTAGCCCGCTGCAGCCTACGGCCCCAATAGAATTGAATTTGTTTATTAAAACCTTTCTTTTTTTCCTTTGACGACATTACCAGAGCTGACAGGAATTATTGAAAATAATTGTTTCGTATCTTTTCGATATTTTTAGAAATTCAAATAAATATTGTACTCTGGTGGAATATTTTTTCCTTGTGGTTACATTTGGAACCACATTTTCGAGTTTAGATACTTTTGCAATCGTAAATGGAGATTAGTTACCTTGGTTTACTGCAAATTAACAATATATAAATTAGCAATAAAATGCTGACGGAACTTTGGTTGAACGGTTTTTGGACTTTCAACAGCCATGTGCTAATAATTCGGGACCGAGTCATTCTCGGGTATTGATTCAACTTTAATGCCACACAAAGCTAAACAAATCACTACTAGGCCTTAAACTGTGGGTCAAGCAGTATCTTAGTCTGACATAAGCCCTCACCTCAACAGCACCCGGGGCTTTACGCAGTAATCTGATTTCTCTTTGAACTAATGGTTGTCTCAAGCACCAACAAAGCAGTGTTAGTTTGTCTAAGTGGCCAAAACACACTTCACGTGTGGTCAGTTGTTAATGCCATTGGATCGTAAAAGTGATGGTATTGTGGTAAAAAGAAAATCCCTTAGTCAACATGAGTTGTTGTGCAAGTATTACATGCATGCATTCCAGTTGATTACATCAAATACAATCATAACTGTACATTGGTATTATTCTATTACATTTGCAGAATTACAGTGGTTTTACAATATTGTCATGACTTTATTGATTACACAGTTTCAGAATTATGGCTGTATTCTGGTGTACACTATATGCATTTTATTAATTTTATGAACCGGGTCGTCAATTTGTTTCTAATATTCTACAATAGATATGTAGTGATACAAAAAACGGCAGACAAAATACTGCAAAGGGAACAAACTGGAGAGTTTACTGGTACTGCAATACTGCTTTCCACTTAATTGACAACATGGTCCAGACAAAACACAAAAGAATGGAGGAGGCAAAATAACTGCTTTGTCCGGAATCAGGAAACTTTTATTGCCAAAATATGTCGTACATACAAGGAATTTGACTTGGCGGTTGGTGCGTGACAGTAGACAGTATAACAATAGACAACAAGACAGCAGTGCACAAGTAAAAAAATAAAATGAAATACTAATGCAATGGGTTAGTAGAAAGGCTATGGGTTAGTATAAATAAAAAAATAAAGTTTGAGTTAAAAAATTAAATTAAAAATATTTAAAGAAATTAAAAAATAAAGTGCACTAGTGAACAAGTGACAAAAGTGACAAGTGAAAAATGACGGTAAAGTGACATGTGCAGTATGAAGGGGAGTGACCGGTGGAATGTTATAGTCAGTCAATGGGGGACCGGGCTCTGTTGATGAGCCCGACTGCCGACGGGAAGAAACTGTTCGTGTGGAGGGAAGTCTTAGTCCTGATGGACCTCAGCCTCCTGCCAGATGGAAGGGGCACAAACAGGTTTTGTCCGGGGTGAGAGAGGTCGGCTACCATCTTTTTAGCTCGCTTCAGAGACCTGGAAGCGAACAAGTCCTGCAGGGACGGCAGATTGCAGCCGATCACCCTCTCTGCAGAGCGGATGACACGCTGCAGCCTGCCCTTGTCCTTGGCTGTGGCTGCAGCGTACCAGACGGTGATGGAGGAGCAGAGGATGGACTCCATGATGGCCGTGTAGATGTGGACCATCATTGTTTTGCTGTATGCATATGCTTAAAGGTTTAGCAGTGTATTTGTAGTCCATTAGGTAATTCATGTTTTTATATGATGCAATGTGTAAAACATTTATTTTCAACACATCAAGATTTTAGCACATTTTATATCTGCATTTTACAACAGATAAGCAAGAATATTCTTATATAGCCTAAACCAAATTCTTGCAAGGGATTTAAACATCCAGGTTATCTCCTACGATATCATTTATATATAGGTGCAATTCGAGGTGCAATTCACCGCCAGAACAATAGGTGGAGTAACGTTTATTTATCATAGACTTTATTGCCCCGTGCATCGCCAATGCTACTTTTCATTGCCGACACATTTGTCCCGTATTTTCCTCCACAACTTTGTTCCCCTCGACCGGCAAACCGGCGTTTGTGGAGATCTCCCTCCATGAATCAGAGGCCATCTGCGCGTCCTTATAGTCCGACAATGACGGCTTTTATAAGCGGTCATATTTACGCATTTCTTCCGACAAAAGCTCTTCAATCTGATCCATTCTCTCGTAAACGTTCTTCGTTTTAATAATGGCGGTGTCGGGCTATGAAAGCGGAAATGTGAGACTTCGTAAAATATGTAGTTAGCAGACCAATCGCGTGGGAGGCTTGCGTCTAGGAAAATGGGTCGACGCACGCAAGGAGGTGTGAAAAGGCACGCAAGGGACACGCAAGAGGGTCTTGCGTCTGCGTGTCCTTGCGTCGCTCTGAAAACGCAGAAGCATAAACTATGCTTAAGTCTGCTGCAGGGTGTGCAACTGTTAAGATGCCACGAGGTACCTTGTGAAGACAGCTAGCCTCTGTATGTTTGACAGGGTCTCTTAACGTCACGAAATAAACGGCCGATTGGAGCCGAATGTGGTCCGTGTCCTGGTGGTAATTTTAAAAACCCAACGCAAGAGAGAGTACAACCGCTAGAGAAGCATGCGCCAGCCTTAAATGTGCGAGATCCGTAGACCCGACTCTACTGCGCGGTCACATGCCGCCCCGACTTCCCCTCAGCCAACGGTCTGGTGGTTGGAGATGAGTAGAAGATGTCGGTTTCGGGGCTGAAGGCCGAATTGAAGTTTTTGGAGTCCATTTTTGACCCAAACCACGAACGATTCAGAATAATAGACTGGAAACCAGATGAACTCAGTTGCCAATTCAACGTAACCGGAGAGAAGCTGCTGATCATTCACTGCAACATCACGGTGAGCCGAGGCCAGCTCTGCGCACAAGCTAACCCAGCCACTGACTATCGACTGAAACCCAATCATTCCGTGGGGACGGTTCCGTGTTTACAAAACTGCAATTTGAAGTGTTCGCTTTTATTTTCCTGTTGTGTGTAAAGCCAGAGAGATTTAACCCAGTTGATCAAAGTAAACAACTGAGCACTGGTGTTGAATTCACTTTAGAAAAGTGTGCGCGAAAACGTAGTTTCAGTAACGACGCCGCGTAGCTTTTTGCTAGCACAAGGTAGCTGCAAGTACCGTGGATGCTAGCTTGTCTTGTTAGCCTAAATAACCATTTGTGGTGCTACAGATGCTAACTTTATAATTACTGAACTGAATCCCGGGCTAATGTAATGCTACCGTTATTTAACGTTAGCTTAGTCATATGGGAAGTTTCACTGTTGTAATAAATACAAGAAATACAAGAAAGTACACATTTGTCTACACAGGCAGTGAGTTGTTCCACTGTGTTTTGTGCCATTTTCAGTAGATAGACAGATCCCTTTGGCGAACGTAATATTAAAACAGTGACGCTATCGTTTTAGCAAGACAGCAAAATATATAACGTTTAATATATTTCGTTGCGTTGCAACACCAACTAGTAGTAGGGTGATGATGTGAATAATCTTGAAACTTATTAAGTCGTGTGAAAGAAGAGGGACCGTCATTTTCATGACACCAGTATTTGTATGAGTCAGGTGGTGCAGTTCGCTCGAACGCCACCCGATCATCCTCACCACATCCTCCTCTCTCCCACACACGCAGTTACACTTCAGCTCGATTTTGAGACACAGACGGGGCCTGTTAACATTTTTTATAGTGTCATGTTGACACCCAAGCTGTGTCGGTCAACTCAAGCTTGAAGATGTCAAAGTACACTGAGTATCGCAATATGAATCTAGAAAACAGAAAAGTGAGTCGGTCCGGTCCCCCTGGTAACGCGAGCCATGCATGTTCTCCATGTCTGATTAGCTGGATCATGTGTGCTTACCAGCTCTTGAGGGGCTGAACACACCTCATCCAGACATCAGTCATGATTAGAACAGGTGGAGATGGAGAATACTCAGGCTTTTTTACTCTACTTACTTTACTTGATACACTGGTTTCTTGTCACTGTTGTGTGGGGCATGTTCCAACACAAGTGTGAATTTTTGCTTTATGATTTTTTATGAATGCAAGATCCCCAAAAAGAAAGAGAGATAACGGAAATGTTGAATAGCCCCCACTTCAACATACAAATCATAACTCTGATTACCCTTTTTGTGAACTTTCTGATACAGCTGGCTCGGGACTCGACAACAAATCTGAAAACCAAACAATGGCGTCCTGTGTCAGCCACAGTGGGTTACACAAGGCCATTAAGAACACATTAAATGGTTATTGCACACTTCTTTAAACTCTCATGTAACTAACATCAGACTTGTACAACTGCCATCAGTTGTCAAATGACTCTAGTTTCCGAGTTGTAAACATAGGAGTCTTTCCCATCTCTGGCTACCGTCCCATATACAACAGGACACTGTATTATACACTCTCAGTCCTAACCAACCCATCTGTCGCTTTTATACATAAACGTCTGTATAACGTAGTACTGTAAAGTGGAGTGTCTACTGGAAAGGGTTGGAGTTGACGATAAAAGCATTAAAACACAAGCATGACTTTCTATAATTCCATGTCCCCCTGTTGACTCTTTTGCAGGAATCTTATCCCTCAACACCGCCGATATGGTTTGTTGACTCCGATGATCCGAGTCTGGCCGAAGTGTTGGAGCGCTTAGAGGGTGTGAGAAAAGGCAGCACATTGGTGAGTTGGCCGACATGGATGCAGCCTCAGACCCCGTGCAGACGGACTCTAGTTGGCCTGAACCCGGGTTCATTTTTCACACCTATCCACTTTTCAAATCGCGTGCACATGAACCCAGTGAATCCGATTGACTCCGCTTGGGGCAATCCGATTAGGTATGCGGATAGCGTGTAGACGAACACCAACAGCGATCGGATTTCGAGTTTACTCACTTTGGACCACCGATTCGAGGGAGTGCGGATACAGTGTGCGGATACAGTGCGTTCGTCTGCACGATAGGGCTATCCGGAGACGGGGTTCACCGGGTTCAGGCAAATTAGCGTCCGTCTGCACGGGGTCTGAGAGAGACTTGCTCTGGATGAGAATGACACACGCATGTATTGCTGCGACAGCAGAGACTTGGTGGATTTGCTTAATCGCAGTCAGATTTTTGTAGTTGATGTCTTGTCTTTCTCGTCTCTCCCTCAGCTCCTTCAGCAGCTGAAGCGCCTCATTTGTGATCTCTGTCGACTTTACAACCTGCCTCAACATCCAGATGTAGAAATGCTGGACCAGCCGTTACCAACTAGACCAATTACCCAAGAGAGAAAGGTACTCCCTTGAAAACGAGTAATAAATGTCTTTGTGTTCCATTTTCGTTTTAAAACTCCATATTTGTCCACTCCCAACGTGTCTTATCACTGCAGCATGGGCTGTCAGATGAGGTGACATCTGAAGAGGAAGAAGAGGAAGAAATGGGCGAGGTAACTATATGTATTAATGACAGTTAATTCATATTCTATATAGTTTAAATGTCATTTTTGTTTTACATCCTGTATCAACATGACATTGATACTCACTCACAGCAGGACATTGACCTGGACCATTACGACATGAAAGAGGAGGAGCCAGTGGACGGGAAAAAGTCAGAAGATGACGGAATTGAAAAAGAAAATCTGGCCGTCTTAGAGAAGATTCGTAAAAACCAGAGGCAGGATCACTTGAATGTAAGTACTTACGCAGGTTTTGTTTGTCTTTATTCAGTTTTGATGACTGTAGTGTCCCACATTGTGCTCGCTGTAACTACAACGTGAAAATGACACAAGTAGTATAAGATAGCAAATGTTCCTGCTTCATAGTTCTATTGTGTTCTATACTGCTGTGTACAAATGAAAAGAATGAGGACGTCTGAATGGTTCAATAACCCAATGGTTAGTGTTCAAGTTTTGCAAATTTGGATATTTTTCCAATCAGGAACCATTTGGCTAAATGTAACAAATTATTGGACACCAACTTGTCTCTTGGCTAGTTTGACAGTCACTGGACATAAATTTCTCTTTTCCATTCCTTCATTCTGTTTCATCATATTCACATCGACAGTAACGGGGCATTGAAAATACGGACTCATCATTCTTTTCACTGCTGACACTGTGTCTGCTGCCGTAGAGCGCTCGAGCAAAAAGAAAAGCAAAGCTATCCAGAAAAAAGTGTAGTTTTGCATCAGGCAACGCAGAGAATGAAAGAGGCCAGCCAAAATCAGAAACAAAGCATGAGGTAATGACCCAATGGAAGACTGGTCGGACCATTACTGCATTGTGTTGCAGGGTGCCGTGTCTGGCTCTGTGCAAGCCTCAGACCGCCTAATGAAGGAACTCAGGGAGATCTACAGGTCACAGAGTTACAAGACAGGTGACTGCACTGACACATTTTCCCTCCCCGATGCCTTCTAATGCTTGAACATTTCATCAGCAGGTCAAATTAAAGCACTGTGCTTGCGTCATGTATTTCATAGGTATTTATTCATGTGAACTAGTTGGCGACAGCCTTTATGAATGGCACGTCAAGTTAAGGATGTAAGTTCCCGAATTCATTTGCTTCTCAACTTTTTCACAAATATTGTGTTGCATATTGATTTGTTTTTTAATTGGACTTGTTGTTCTGTATTACAGGGTAGACCCGGATAGTTCATTACATAGTGACTTGCAGGTCTTAAAAGAAAAAGAAGGAGTGGACTACATTCTGCTCGATTTCTCTTATAAAGTGAGTCCTGTAATAATATTTCTCAGTATTTTTATTTGTGGAAAAATCGAGACTCAAGAATTGCATTTTTTTCTTCACATTACAGGATAATTTTCCTTTTGACCCACCGTTTGTTCGGGTTGTCGCCCCTGTGCTCTCCGGAGGGTGAGTTTATTCTCTCCCTTATTTGCAAATGAATCGCTCTGATGAGAGTTGAGTCTCTGGCATTTGGTCTACATTGTTGTGGGCATCATTTTCTAGAGGAATTGTTAGGCTTTCTTGGGAGAGATTTAAACACAATACCTAGTGTTTCCCCTGGGTTCCCCTTAAGTCAGATCATTTGATGAATTGGGTTATAATTTTAGGCACAGGGTGAACTTTGTGCATTCGAAAGCAGACAACTCCACAACTGGTTCAGGTTTAAATCACCTATTTGCAAATCTCTTCAACAAATCATCAAATCAAATCATGTGATTGTGAACTAAATTGGAAAAAAATCAAGTGAAAACTTTCTTGGTCAAGTAACGGTAGAGTTTCATGTATTTCATGCAGCAGTCAACCTTTACACTAAAATTATCCTTTTTCTTTTCAGTTATGTTCTGGGAGGAGGGGCCTTGTGCATGGAACTTCTCACAAAACAGGTTTGTAATTTAGTTTGACGTGTGGTATGACATAATGTTCGACAACTTCTAAAAGCAGAATTAATGGTGTTTTGTGTGTTTTCAGGGCTGGAGCAGTGCCTATTCCATAGAATCTGTCATTATGCAGATAAATGCAACGTTGGTTAAAGGAAAAGCTAGGGTGCAGTTTGGAGCCAATAAGGTAAGGGACGTCAAACATTTGTTTACAATGCAAAAATACAGTTGAATAGTGCCTGACTGAGCAGAGGTTGTAGTCGTATGGTGATACTTAGAGATAGGGCTGCAACTAACGATTATTTTGATAATTGATTAAGCGGTCGATTATTTCTTCGCTTCGATGAATCAGATTAAAAAAACAGCATTAAAAAGCTTTAAATTCCAACCCTTTATTCTAAAACAGAACTGCAAATTCACATTGCAAAAATACTTCAGAAAGTACAGGTTGCTATTTGAACATAATATTAATTTATGAAAAATATTTTCTCTATATTACACTCACAGACACAACGGTAGACGGGCCTAAACCTAAATTTACATTAAAACAAAAATCATATTAAAATTACATATTTTCAGCTGTATATTTGGGGGGACAGGTTGGTATTTTGTCAATATTGGGGGGACACGAACCCCCTCAAAGAATGAGTGGTTACGCCCTTGCATTAGAGGCCTCTTAGTTAGCCGCACTGGTTTAATAGATTACCGTGTGTCTCGTTTTACAGGCATAACATACACTACCGTATAACCTACAGTATGTGCGCAGCGCACTAGACTACCGTTTATGACAGCATTAAACACACACAAATATATTTCTCAACAATAACCGATATGTATATATACAAAATATATACGACAGATTGAAAAATGAATGGTCTAAAATAGGCGTGTCTAAAAACGTGTCTTCGTCCTGCTAACTGCTTTACTGTTGTTATTAGCGAGCTAACGCTAGCTTGATCAGCTGGATGACGAGCCTCCAGCAGCAGCGCTGATGTGAGGCTCTTCTTCTCTTCTTTCCTCTACGTCGGGTCGCTTTTATTTTTTATTTTTGCTCTGCGCACATCCGCAACTCATTGAGGGACGTAATAATAGCGCAACACAACGAGTCGATAACGGAATTCATTGCCAACGCTTTAAATAATCAAATTTTATTGATTCGTTGTTGCAGCTTTACTTAGACACAATGCCAGACAGTTTTCATTTAATGCTTTCATTATGTTGCCCACGGTAACATGGGGAGTATAGTTTTGAAGCACATTAATTCCCGTAGGCATCTAATTATGTAGCAGTCGGTTTCCAGTTGAGAAATAAAGAAAATCTAAGTGTCCCAAATTCAATCACCCACCGTTTGAATCTTGTTATAGAGTTATTATAGTTATAGAGAGAGAATATATATGACATGCAAGTTCAGCCAGACACCAACATGTAAAATAATGTACTGTAGTTGTTTGCGCCCTTCTTACTGTATAGCAGTGACTGTGCATTTAACAAAAAATTATTTGGCTTTTCAGAACCAGTACAATCTTGCCAGAGCACAACAGTCGTACAAATCCCTTGTGCAGATTCATGAAAAGAATGGTGAGTAATTGTTACTGAGTGGTTCCCACACACACACACACACACACACACACACACACACACACACACACACACACACACACACACACACACACAGTGGTTTGGATCCAGTGGCAAAGGGGTTTGTCTTTGTGTTTTTACAGGCTGGTACACACCACCTAAAGAGGACGGATAAGGAGCTACTACCACTATGCACTGGGAACATGTCTTTCAAAGTCAAAGTATCTTATTTTCTTTGGAATACCCCCCAACTTCACTGGGATTATATCATCCTGTTGGTGGAAACCCTCTTGTTGGCTCATCTGACAAGTATACCTTCGCCCCGGTCCAGTTGAGACTGTAGTCTGGTATCACTTTGCTATCACTGATATCACTTGTCCTCAATCCTACATAGGCTCACTTGTCTTTAAAAAAAACATTTCTCCCTTTTGATTTTGGGGAAGTGCTTTTTCTTTAGCTGCTGTGACAAAGTGGGCTTTACAAACAGTCAGTTACTCCTTTAAACGGGAGTTTTAAAAGAAGATACTGAAGCTCTTGATGTGGCACCCCCCCCCCCCCTTTTTTTGCAAACTAACCGGTACATAAAAATGCAAATATTATAGACGTTTTATTCAGCTATTGTTTTTATTATTTGAGCATCCTAGATCATTAATAAAGTAAACATTTTGGAAGCTTATTTCAATATTGAGATGAACTTGTGTTTTAGCTCATACCTTTTAAAAAATATATGAAGAATATCGGGTCAAGCAGAATCAAGATGCTTGGGTGTTGAACTAAGATTTATCTGTTGTATGTGAACAAATCCATCTGTAGCTGATAATAAAACAGGGCCAAAACATCTCACAATTTCCATGTTATATAGCTCTCGTGAGGAGGAAACAGATATTTTCACCAGATGTCAAAATCACAGATGAGGCGTCATTCGAGACGTTTTTACAGATCTAAAGAGCTTTTTTTTGTCTCATGTTCTGTTGATACAACAACCCCGTAAGCGTTCAGTTTGGTTACTGGTCTTTTCATTGATTATAGAGGTTGATGTCTAGAGGTTGCAGAGGTTGGTGTCTAGTTTGATACTAAAATGAAGCCCTGACTGTGTCTCAACTTCTGTTATAAAAATTTTTAAGCAGACACGCACTGGGATTGGCTTTACAGAAGGAATAAATTAAACGTGTTTAGATGTGTTTGGATTTTTTTGCATAATACTGTACAGTTTAGCTGCAAATTTGTTATTCATATCATGACGTACATGGATTGTAGTTGCTTTTCTTGCGCAATTTAGAAAACTTTGAAACTGCTTCCCTGCTCCATGACGTCCACCACTTGTAGGGCTTCCTTTGCCAACAATATGATTCGGCATCAGAAAAGGTGACCAAAAGATGGATCATTCAAACTCTACAATATTGTACGTTCCAACTTTGACCATGCAACATACCGTAGTACTTCTCTACTGTCGCTCGTTGTACTGCAGACCAACGGTATCAATTAACCTGTTTATTGCAACGGTATGTTTGAATTGCAACTCAGGTAACAAACAATACTTAGGAGGAGAATCAGAACTTGATTGCGCTCGCAGTTTATTTCTTTAGATTAATGAACGTTCTGTACTGCTGACATTGAGGTTTACACACACGCTGATCAGATGTCAAAAATACATGAGCTTTACAGTAATATGGGCTGCGTATTTAATTTAATTCCATTGATATAATAGGAAGAAAGATGCCATTTAAACATGATTGGCAGCATGGTGACTACCCGCGTAATCGCTCAATGATTTCCCACTGTAGTGTTTAATGCTTGGTTGTTCGTCCCAAGTACTGAAAAATATTTGATTTCAGCATCTGATCTTTGAATATTCTTTATAAATTAAAAAAACAACAACATTTGCACAACTGGCAACAATGTGCCTTTAAAGGTCAATTATAACAACTATCTAAATAGCTTAACATCAGGATAAATTATTTTTTTTCCAGAACATATCATATTGTTTCATGTTTGATGGAGCGTAAGGAGGACTCAGGTCTCTAAAACCAGAGGTGTCCTCATCTAAAGGTCCTGGGTTTTCCTGCCGAGACTCCCTTTAGAGGGGCTATGGAGAGACAATTTCATGGTTGGGACGTGATGAAAAACTCTTGCACGCCAATCCAACTGGACTGATTTGAGATGATTAATTTATCTCAACTGCATCAACAAAACAACATCAAGTCTGGCACCCTTTGACTTGCTTTGGTTTTCTTTTACTTCTCATTTTTCATTTTAGGACATTTTGATCATGTACAGTAATTTGCAAACTTGCATCAAGTTTATGAATAAAGAATTTTAAGATTATTTCTGTATTACCGGTTTTCCTGTTATTTTTTTCACTGCTACTTAATAGATTGTATTGGGCATATGTTAATATTTTATGAATAAAATGATTTACTGCTGATATAATTGTCACACTAATTTGATTTTGTTTAAAAGTGTTGTTTCTTATCTGACAACCTCGGAAGGCTGCATTAAAGAGGTTTAACTTTTGTATTTACAGCAACAAGAATGACAACACATAAAAAAACAATTGCCATTGAAGAACCAGAAATGGAAAGCAAATGCTATAAATTAATTCAAATATATTTGCGATTAGAAACAGATATTCACACATTTTCATTTGAAAGTCCAGCAACGGTGTCTGTAGCAGTCATGTCCGTCCTCAGCTTGGTGAAATGTGTGAAGTCACTGAAAACATTGTCGCAGAGTCAAACTACAACATCAGATATGTTTATTTTGATAGAAAATGCTTTTTGAATTACATTTAAAGTATTGCTCTAGAGAATCAGTGCATGGTTCAGAGTAGTTTTAAACAAAGGCACGATAAATAATTCACATTTAATTTTGTTTTTTAAAGCATTGTGATAAATTATCTAATATGCGGCTTTGTGTTGCTTCACCATTACTGCAATGTACAAAATGATCAAATAACTAAACAGGATTCAACCATAACTCTTTAATATATATTAGGGTAAGACCAAATAATATAAAAGTAATACAAAAAAATGTATTCTTCATTCATGGAGACGCAGCTTCCTCAAAATCACAACATGTTTATATTGAATGTGTTTATCCATGGCAAATATTTACCTAACCTCAAGTACTCATATATTTATAGCTAGGAATCATATAATACATATAAAACAACATACAGTACACGGGGGATCCAGCAGCATGAAATGCAGAGTGTTAGTAGTTGCATCCAACATACGCTGTAGCTCCTGCTGCATGTTGGATGCATATCTGTCGTTTCCAAAATCACATAAGATGTATGTACATATGGCAACAAAAAGAAACTTGGACTGAAACAAGAACATTGATGGAGACTTTCCACTTGGATCGGCTAAAGTTTGTGCATTTGCTAACAGATGGGATTGTGGATGGGTTACAGGGTAACAATTCATAACTACTGCGTGTGCACCTGCTGGTGAAAATGTTATCCATGTCTCGATCTGTACCGTTGCACTAAAACTATGACGAAAATGTTTCGTTAACGAACCTTTTTTCCATGACTAAGACGTGACGAAAACGATCTTAAAAAATAAAAACTATGACTAAATCTATTTTAACTTTCGTTAACGAGACGAGACGAACATGTTGGTGGTTGACGAAGTCACGATACTTTCCCCCCCTAAATTCTCACGCAGCCAACAGACAGACAAAGTATACGGCCCCGTACGCGGATGTTAACGTGTCATGATGACGTCATCCACGAACCCAGAACGCTCACATCGGTGCAGCGGTGGTTCTTGTGCACCGACTACGGACCGTGACGACTATTTTACGTTTCGGCGAGTTTGAACGTGGCTTCGTTAGTTTAGCTCAGCTGTCTCGGTTTAGCTGACTGTTAGCAGACTGAAGCCGCGCTGCTTCACAGAAACATGAAGACCCGTTTAACAGACTGTCGGACCTTTCTGCTCTGTTCTCTGGCGACGGCAGGCAGCGATTCCTCGCTGGATGAGACGCTCCGTTACAAACACGTCTAACATAATACACTCATTGCAGGTTCTGAAGCCAAGAAAATAATGTATTTTTGTTTCGTTTTATTGGGACAGTGGAAACAATAAAGGACCATGAAGTTTCCGGTGGCCATGTCAAAAGCACTGCAAGTAAACAGACAAAGACAACAAAGTGTTGCGTTTAGATCCCTGGTCCTCATGAAGTTGTTACACCTTTGCCAATTTGTTAAATTGCCTTGCAAATAAATGCTTTGCTATTTGTTAAAATCCAAATCCTTTCATGTAATGATTTTTCACATGTCATTTATAGTCGCTCACACAAACACTTCAACCGTTTGTTCTTGGCTCGGCTCCTCCGTCAAATTTTACAACCCATTGTGGCCCGCGAGTCAAAAAGTTTGCCGACCGCTGCTATAGACCTGTCCTATGAGGGACATCTAATGGACAACCAAGTACTGCAAGCTAGACTATTATGCAGCTGTAGACACAACACAGGGGGTCCCTGGGCCTGAGAAGGGAAGAAAAGGAGTTTAATATGGCTATTAAATGTGACTAAACCCAGTGAGCACAAGACGTAATTTCGCCGTTGAAATATGGTTGAAATCGGGTTGAAATGAGGTCTGAACGTCTAAGACCTCATTTCAACGTCTTTTCAACCGTCTAAAAATAGGATGAAACATCAACGTGCCAGAAAACGTCAATTTGTTGATAAATGTGTCATGTTGTAACGTAAGGTTGAAAGAGAGACGATATTAACGTTAAGATTTTCATAATAATTAATGAACTGGTCGGCGAAATTTGGTCTACGCGAAGACGTGATTTCAACGTATTTAATATTTCACTTAAAACTTCAGAAATATGAAACTACGGACTGCGTGCTGTTAATAAGATGCGTTTAAGACATAATAATGCGGGCAGGTTCAAACATTACTTGTAAGCACGTAACTCCGCTCACATCTGTAACGCGCATGCGCGAGTTCTTAGACGCCTGCAGAGCTCCGAGCGGACGAGGCGAAGTTACGGCAGCAGAGCGACATGAACGGGCTGATAGAACCACGACTACCGGCTCCAATGCTCTGTAAGTACGGGAGTGTTTGGATGAAGCACACATGGAACTATAACCGGGTGTTTTACTTCTGCTGCCCACCCGATACGGGAAAGACGGCCCTTTTTGTTAAGCGAGTTAGAGTTAGCGCAGGTAGTTTGCTAGTTAGCATGCTAGCTTGCAGCATGCTAGCGTGCAGCATGATGGACCAAAAGTAAATATCCCAGAATATTTTTTGTGTGTTTGGTGTTGCTAATACGTACCCATAAATATTATTGCATTTCACATTGAAAATACGTTTTTAAAGCAATGGGGGCTAAATACAGATTGCAAGGGTGAAGGGCTGAATTCAACAAGTTGTGCTCTGTAAACAAGAGGGCCAACACATTGTAAGTTACTGTGTGCTTAAATCATGTTACTGTGTGATATACCTGGAAATGTTACTCCAGAAATGCCATAAGTTGCAGATGAATTGTTATCTTGTTTATAATGTAATAAGTAAACAGTCTATAAATTAGGGTCCTAACACACCTGCTGCTGTTATTATTATTAGTTTATTACTGTCATCATAAACCCAAATGACCAACTTTCCTTTTTGGCAATCTTTGTGCTTTCCCTCCTCACAGGTTTCTGTGGGTGGTGGTTGCATCTGACGGAGGTTACATCTGATGGAGGTTGTCTTACACCTGACTTACTACTCTCAATATTAGAATCATTTGTGTTGTAGAAATTGGATGCACTGTACATCTTTAATCCGTTCATACTCTACACACCTACTTCTCTGCTGTTTTCCCCTCAGGTTTCTCCCAGTTGAAGGTTTTTTACATTTTGGGGGTTTTGGGACAGGATGTTGCATGTTTACAGATTGCAAAGCTGAACAAAATAAAATGATTTGAATTGAATAAACATGTTGACCAGAGGAATCTGCAATTGAAGGGTGTTCTGTGCACTCTGACTCCCTTTACTCAAAGAATCCTCAAGTGAGGATGAGGGAGACGCAGCTGATTTCAGGTATACTATCCCAACTCAAGTGACTCACCGCCACATCTTGTTACAGAATCTGAAAATTACGTTCCAATGATCCAGAAAAATGGGCTAGAAACACAGAATTCTAAACTAAACTCTCGATGTTTGTTCTGCACTTTTAATTCCATAGTTTATTTCCCTGAAATATATATTTTATTTTTGTATTGTTTTTAATTAGGAAAAGTGTTGTTATATGTATAGTGTTATATTTATAATAAATGCAAATTAATAAAATAATGTGTTTGTCCTTGTTAAGGGCTGTTAACATGACAACTGTGACTAAGTATGTAACTTGTAAGTTTCCACCGAGCAATTTATCCGTTGAAACAACTAATTGGCAGCAAACAGCAAATTGGTTCAAAAGTGAAAGTTGTTTAAACGTCTATTCGTAGACGTTGAAAAGACGTTCACGTATAGACCCGTTTTCAACGTGATTTATAATATCGGTGGTAAACTTACAAATGTGGACGTAGTTTCTATTTAAACCTCCAAAATGATGATATGGCACACAAGAGAATAAGAAATATTACCGTATAAAAAATCACGTTGAAATGTGGTCTAAACATAGACGTCTTTTCAACGTCTACGAATAGACGTTGAAACAACTTTCACTTTTAAACCACTTTGCAACGTCTTTTCAACGTCGGGCATAGACGTCGTTTAAACGTCTTTTCAACCAAAAAATGCTCACTGGGAAACTAGACTAAAACTAATTACATAAAACTAAGTAGGATTAAAATGACTAAATGTGACTAAAACTAATATGCATTTTTCGTCTAAAGACTAAGACTAAATCAAAAATAGCTGCCAAAATTAACACTGTACCGTTGGTATCCAACCTGAAAACAGGCACATTTTCAAGTCATAACAGTGAATGTTTTGGTTGCTACTATTCCCGTCTATGTTTAAAGCCTGCACAATCCCACCTGGCCGGACGGCTAGAAATGCAGCCAAGAACCCCTGCGGCCGTCGAACAAAGCGTCCAAGAGTCAGTTGTCGTTAACCGCACGGGTGGAGCGACGCGAAATGTCATAGGTCACCAAACCTTCTCTTAAATGTCATTCACCAGCCTTATAATCAATTTCAGAAAAAAAAGGAAACGACCAATAGCTACATGATAATTCCACTTCAGCTTCATAGTGCACATCCCCAAGGTGTCACGCAGGGATAACCAGGACATCTGATGTACTGATGGCGCTGTGACTTGATTCAGCTTTACATCTCTTCAGGCCCAGAGTCTCATCAAACATGTGTAAATTGGGAAAAATCAGATGATTTGGAGGAGAGTTGCAACGGTTTTGTTGTTGTTGGGGAAAGATCATCTTTGCCGATGCACCTTCTCCCCCCCAATTATCGGATTCTTATCATTTTCACACTGAAGCATTATTACGGTTTTACCTCTCTGCTAGGGATCAGATTAACCTGTGAGGAGCAGGGTGTAAAATAAAATAAAACAATCAACTTCCTGTTTTCCCCAGGTGGCGCTATGACAAAGGTTAAAAATGATCATATGGATGTCTACAGGGTGAGAAGTTCATGCTATATGAGAAATATGGAGCAGATTAGATAAAGTATGGTTGAGTTAAAACAACTTTAATTTTTATGCTGAATGGTGGTTTTTCAAAATTGCTCCCTACACACATAGTTTAGAATTTTCTTCTGGCAACATGCAATTCTTAGAGCCTAGGTCCTCGAGATCATACTGCGCGAATTTGAAAAGAATCAGGTTTAATCCCTGGGAGGAGTTCGGTCTTTTGCAACTCTAGCAAATCACGAAAATAGGCCAAAAGGGCAGATTTTCAACGATTAATTGCAGCGCCCCCTATTCTTCAAATATTCTCAAAAAATCAGGGTGTGTTCAGGGGTTCAATGTTCACATGTGTTACAAGTTTGGTGCGGGCAGGCCAAATCATTTGGAAGTTATGACTCTTGCAAGATTAAGCCACACCCCTTGCAAAGTTCATTAGCCCATATCTTCTCAAAACAAGAAGATATCAACACGATATTGATAGGACAGGGGTAAATCGATCCAAATTTCGTGACAATCAGACATAGTGTTTAGGAGAAATGGCCAAATACGTGTTTTTCATCAAATTCAAAATGGCGGAAAATCTAGTTAAGAGCATTTGCATACCATGATTGACTCTTTTGTAGAGCATGTCCAAGAGCACATGTGTGCCACATTTCAAGTCAATCGGACATCAGGGGCGGAAACTGGCCTAGTGGGGTCCTTTTTTTACCTTTCTATGGGGCGCTATGGTGACATTTCTTCGTACCCAAATGCAAAACCCCCCAAATATCAAATTTTTCACCAGTTCTGATAAGCGTGCCAAATTTAACAACTTTTTGAATATGATAAAGGCCTCAAAAAGGGAGGACCCTAATCGTTGCGAGGACCCTAATAATAATAATTCCTTGAAATACAATAGGTTCCTCTACGACTAGTCGTTGCGAGCAGGGCTGTAGTGGAGGGTAAACGCTCGTAAACGCCGTTTACGCACCTCTAGAATTTGGAAATAGCGTTTACGCACCTATAAATAGCGTTTACGCACCTATAAGTGGCGTTTACGCACCTCAAAGTTCCCTGCGCCTTGTATTCTTCCGTTGGAATAATCCGAAATAAACTTGGTGTAATTTTAAAACAGCTAACACTACATTTCCTATTGTTGAACATATAAATGCTGTAGTCTGAATCATTTTCATCTGCGCTGTATTACGGTCTGTGAGCATCCAATCAGTGCCTTGCGGCTGCAGCAGCGACACCAATCAGGATCCAGGAGGTGTGTAAACACGCTGTGGATCAGCCCAGTGGTCCCCAACCTTTCTTACCTCAGGGACCGGTTTCATGTCAGACAATATTTCGCGGACTGGTCGAGAAGGTCCGACGGGGGGGGGGGTAGTAGTCGTTGTTGCGGGCGGAACGACCGACGTGAGGGAGGGGGGTGTAGTCGCGCGCTCTGTGTTCGCTGGTCGTGCACGGTAAAAGGACAAGAAAACGCCTGGTGACGCGTAGATTAGAAAACAAGTCAGTTCTCAATGTGAAAAAAAACATGCTGTATAGGCTATTTATGATAACATAGTACATGAGTGTTAAATTCAACATATTTTTTCAGGCAGTGATAGGACAGGCAATGATGCAGAGAGCACAGGGAGAGGAGAAACACCAGGTCGAGTAGAGAGAGGAGAAGCACAGAGGCCATGAACGTGTTCTGGGGTTCATGGCTCCTCTGTGCAAGGCAGGACCTGACGTGGAGGACAAGGAGGCCCTCTGGGCACTACTGTAAAAAGGAGACTCCGTATGTAGATAGTTCTTAATCTGCAATTGTGCTGTTGTGTTGACATACTTTTCTTTACGGTTTTCTTAAATTTAATAAACTACTAACATATTTATTCATTGTCATTGATTGTATATGACTTTTACTGATAACATAATGCAATATAGCCAGGACAGCCTTACAGAGTCGCGACGCTTTGTGTTGCGTTGCTTGGCATCGCGTCGAGGTCTGTATGATCACTAAATTCAGAGTTTACCCACCTCTAATTTTACCACTACAGCACTGGTTGCGAGGACCCTAATTAAAAATCTGTTGCCCACAGCCATAGGAAGACAACCCTAACCCTAACCCCTCCCCTGTGCTTCAAACACATCCACGCAACATCCAAAATACACAAAAGAATAACAAATAGGTACAAAACACAACAACTGAAAAGTAAAACAACAGCCTATTGAATACCACACCATCACATTCAGACAAGACGACTCACACGTTTTGAAAGAGCATTCCGAGTCTAGGACAAGTCTAATACTGTATCATTGTAATAACCATTTACTGAATTTTGAGGACGTCTAAAATTTAAAACCTTTCCCGAGAACAAGTATGCTGAATTTAACGGAGAGGTTCATTGAAGCAACTTCTCATCAGTGAAGAAAACCAGAACCAGGTCACCAAAACATCTACCGTAAACAATGTTTTATAATATCCAAAGTTTTGGGAATTTGGAGAAATACCTGCTTCATACATTTAGTCTTGTAATTTAAATTTAGTTTGAGACAATTATTTTATTTTTTAATTCATGATGCTGTTTTTTTTGTAATTATTCATTTTTAAATTTGAAATGCTATTTTTGTCTGACTTTGATCTTGTTGAACAGCATATTATTTGACAAAAAGTCATTAAGATTACATGATAAGTAAAAAAAAAAACAATTGGCTACTACAAAAAAATATATTATGGTCCCAAATAATAAACTTAAGTAATAATTTTACCCTAAACCTAAAAGACTAGATTCATACAGAAAGCAAATAAATTTGTTGACCTGTCCCTTTAATGACACAGCAGCTACACTGAGGGTAAATATATTTAGCATTTGGTGACCGAGCAATGTTTTAAGAGTGTGACAGGCCAGGTCAGAGAGGTCGCTGTGTGGTGACCACAGACGAGCCAACCTCATTAATCGAATGAAGCTCAGGAGACTTTTAGCTTTATGATGTGTCTCCTTTGGAAAGCAACACACACACACAGACCAGCTAAAACTGATTAACAAAAAAATAAAACAACTTTTCTTCATAGCTGGCTGTTGGTTTAAATGTGAAGTGACTTAAATATTAATTCCATGAATGTCCGAATCCAATTACGGTACGCTTCCACCAAAGACATGAATTACTCAAGCATGACAACAAAGGGCGCCCAATTCTGACTTGTGTTCTTAATTGATCCCTTTCCATCTCTCCCACGCGGCAGCCCGGCCCCCCTTCCTCTGGCCTACATCGGCTCGTCGTAGTTGTAGGTGGGAGCTGCTGAGTACTGGTTCTGCTGCACGGCTCCCTGGGCAGCTCCCATTGCCGCCTGCTGGGCTGCCTGCTGGACGTGGGGGTTCTTCCAAGCCCCGCTGGCCCACTCCTCCTGGGCCTTATCCAGGCTGCCCCCCGTACCACGGTAGAAGTTGTGTACCTACAGAAGAAGTTGTTATTCAAAAAGACATTTCCTGAGGGAGTGGGGGGAAGCCTGTCAATGGTATTAAAGTTGAGCTGAAATGAAAATACTTGTTTGGGGGGACGTAAGGAATAAGGTTTTAATCGTTGTATACCCTATAGTCATTCCCATGTGGCATGCATTCTACTGAGGATGACAGGACTGTAATTTCCATAATTTGATTAGTGCGACATCTGTGCCGTGTGACAGACATCACCAGCCATGTCCAATCACACAGTACCTCTAACTGCATCCACCGTGATTCCCGTGTCAGCGACTAGCATGAGTGCTAATATTATCGAGCTAGAATAATTAGCTTTTACTCAAGACACTAGGTAGCTTAGTTTGATATCTTTGAGTGGAATATAAACTCAACAGCATGATGGGTTCATAACCAACGCTAAATGGACTGGAAATGGTGAAGGAAATGTTTCAGGTCACTTAAGCTACAAGTTTATGACACAGGTTTAGTACAGTATGGAAGATTTTAATGGCAACATTACACATTGCACATTTTTGTTTAAATTAAAGTAGAAATGTGTCGTTACCTTAGTGAGGGCGATGAAGGACAGTATGGCCACCGCAGTAAACATGATGGTGGGAATCAACATGACCACAGCTGATCCAATGTTGGTGCTGAAGAAGGTGATGGTAGCCAGCCAGCCACTGATGGGAACAACAAGAGAGTTAGTATACCTCACACCAAAGAAAGTGGCACTCAAGCAAAAACTCATGCAAAAACTTCAAATATATGTGTATTCATTGGTTTTAAGGTAGAGGGTTCCTAACGGTGCGGCTCGTTTTGGCAAATACATTGCATTGTGTGAAAGAGGCCAGTGCATGCTGGTGAAGTTAAGGCACTTTAACATTCTCAGCACCAAAGGTCACACTCCTCACACTCGCAGTCGTATCTCAGATAAATCTGAACACTCAGATATGATAGCTGGGATTTTAGATTCAGTGTGACTTCTACTTCCCCGCGATAGCATTATCTCTCCATCGAAAAAAAAAAAAAATAAAGCTGCAAAAACCTGCTTAGACATCATATAAAAAGACACATCGTATAGTAGTCCCCACAGCCGTGGTGACATGTCCCACAGGGACAGCTAATGAGCGATAATGTACTGTGTTTATAATTTTGCTGGTAACCGTATTATATTAACTTATTTTCACCTATCAAAGAACTGTGCAGTAAATTTCCCCTTTAGCGCTGGGTATGCTATAGTAAGATGTATTTATTTTAGTACTAAATGTGGACGGATTTTTGGACGGGGGGAAAGTGGACATTCCTTGGTAGAACTGGACATCCTCCTGTCCAATTTCCCCGAAAATGGCCCTCCGCTCATCTTCCTGGGTGACTTGAACATCCAGACAGAGAAGTCATCTGACCTCATACACCTACTTTCTTCTTTCGCTCTGTCACTCAGTCCCTCTCCTCCTACTCACAAAGCCGGCAATCACCTTGACTACATCTTTACTAGAAACTGCTCTACCACTAACCTCTCTGTAACTCCACTTCATGTGTCTGATCACTTCTTCATCTCTTACTCTCTATAACTAACGACCCTCCTCCATTGACTGACTCTGTACCTGTTCGTCGCAATATTCGCTCCCTCTCTCCCTCCTCCCTGGCATCCTCTCTTCTATCAGCTCTCCCTTCTACTGACTCCTTCTCACTCTTGCATCCGAACGCTGCTGCAGAGACTCTCCTCTCAACTCTTTCCTCCTCTCTAGACTCTCTCTGCCCTCTAACGACCCGACGGACTGGCAAATCTCCTCCGGCTCCGTCTCAACCGGTGCCATGAGAGCCACCATGCGAGCATCGGAAAGGAGATGGCGTAAATAAAAACGACCTGACGACCTGCTTGCATTTCAATCTCTTCTCTCCTCTTTTTCTGCTTCTATCTCTGCTGCCAAAAGCTCTTTCTACCAATCCAAAATCGAATCTTAATTTTCTAACCCCAAAAAACTCTTTTCAATCTTCTCCAAACTCCTTGAACCCCCTAGTCCTCCTCCCTCCTTCTTCCGGGTGACTTTGTCAACTACTTTACCAAGAAAATAGCTGACATACGCTCCTGTTACGTTCCAGCTCCCAAAAGGGAGGGGAACATGACAACCCACTGCTCCGGCCCACCGGTGCCGGCAAAAGGGGTATGGAGTCGCGGTGCGAGAAAAGGACAAACACCAAATACAGAACAACGCTTTTATCTAACAAAATAAATACACTTAAATAAACAATAACCTTCTGGGAAAAGGGGAGGGCTGGCCGGACCAAAACAAAGAAATAAACAAAAAGGTCCCCACCCCTAACCTGTACTAACCCCCAATTGAAAACACTCTACCTGGCACACGGTAAAGGCGCCCTAACCAAACTTACAGGTGGTGGTCTGCTCAGGTCTAAACTGGTGTTTCTAGACAGAGAAGTAAACCTAAGGGTGATGTATACCCCGGGGTAGCTCTAAATCTACTCCCCACTCCCTGTGAACAAAAGAGAAAACAAATAATTAGTCAAATGACCCAAACAAACAATTGCTCCCTTCTGCTGCTACACGTTTCCAAAAAGGAACAGAAGTTATCTAACACTAAACACAACTGAATATCTTCTCACACAGGGTACAAACCAAAGGCAACATATGTGAATATGCAGCGAGCATGCAGTGCCCGAACTGGTCCAAAACTGGGCTTTTTAAAGAGCCCAGCCAGCTGCAACCACTGACGAGGGGGGTGGCGCTCCGGGTCCCAATCCTATCTGGAAATAACACACACACACACACACACACACACACACACACACACACACACACAACTACAAGTAATCCCCGAATTGGAATCATTATACGAACCCAGATTTCTGGGGACGTAACAGCTCCCCTTTCTCAAACCCACCTCCTACTTCTTGCGTCCCACTGACTTCACCTCTATCGCCCTCACTTTCCTCTTTCACCCCCTGTCTCCTAACCAAATTCTTACCCTAGTAAGTCCAACCACCTGCCCTCTTGACCCCATTCCATCACATCTTCTACAATCTTATCGCACCTGACCGTCTTCCTTTCCTCACCTGTCTCATCAACAACACTCTGTTATCTGGCGGTTTTCCCAATTCTCTGAAGGAGGCAAGAGTTAACCCTCTCCTGAAGAAACCTACCCTCAACCCTTCTGAAGAGAACAACTACCAACTGGTCTCTCTTCTTCCCTTTCTGTCTTGAAAGTGCGACCTTTAACCAACTCTCCTCCTATCTCCATCATAACAACCTCCTTGACGCCCACCAGTCAGGCTTCAAGGCCATTCCACAGAGACTGCTCTCCTTGCTGTCTCAGAGCAACTCCACACTGCTAGAGCCGCCTCTCTCTCCTCTGTCCTCATCCTTCTGGACCTCTCTGCTGCATTCAACACAGTCAACCACCAGATCCTTATTTCCTCCCTTCAGGAACTTGGTGTCTCAGGCTCTGCTCTCTCCCTTCTCTCGTCCTACCTCGACGGCTGCACCTACCGGGTAACCTGGCGAGGATTGGTGTCGGAACCTTGTCCTCTTACTACTGGAGTTCCTCAGGGTTCCGTCCTGGGTCCCTCCTCGTCTCGCTCTACACCAACTCTCTCGGCGCTGTCATTCACTCGTACGGCTTCTCCTACCATAGCTATGCCGATGACACCCAATGGTCAAACCCTACATCCCAACGCGCACTCTCCGCTCTGCATCTGATAAACTGCTCGTCCCTCCCTCACTGAGAGCAAAACACTCGACTAGATCTCGACTCTTTGCCGTCCTGCTCCTAAATCGTGGAACGAGCTCTCTGAAGACACCAGGACCGCAGAGAGCCTTCACATCTTCTGCCGCAAACTAAAGACACACCTCTTCAGACTCTACCTCCACTAAAAGACTAACAAATTGTAGCACTTAAATTGTACTTGTAACGTCACTCATCTATAGCAAATTTTAAATTGGCTTATTTGAGGAAATTGCACTTTCTTGTTTCTTGTTCTTCTGAGTTTGTACCCTATGGTTGAATGCACTTATTGTAAGTCGCTTTGGATAAAAGCGTCAGCTAAATGACATGTAATGTAATGTATATATCTGCAGAAACATAACCAATATAAATGCTTGCATACAAGAAAAATGTGAAAGGGAATCTTGTCCTAGGATTGCAGTCACTTAATCTTAACTCAACTGAACATAATTGTATCTTCCATCATAATAAAAAATCCATATACATTTAAGACAAATAGTGCTTTTATTTGTCACCCATCTGTATTCACGCTTTATATCAAACATATCTGTGTTTGTCGAAGCGCTTACCACACACCCCAGCCTGGAATGCCAACAGTCTGGATAATACTGACCACCACCTGCGCCATGAAGACGAAGAAGAAAGCCATGAAGTTGAAAGAGCTGTCCGTCCTGAATGAAGAGAATAAAAAAACATCAGAGCTGATGTGATCCAGAAGAACAGCAGGTAAAACATGTCGAGTCCGCTCACTTGAAGGCCTTGTAGATGGGCCTGAACCAGCACACGTAGGAGCAAGGTGTGAAGAGGATGAGCCACAGGATGGCCATGCCGAAGTTGGTTGCTCCACCGCCTCCACACATCCACGCCAGACAGCCGATCAGATTGACGGCCAGTGTAGCGCTGTTGACTGTCGACGTTGCAGAGAAGGAGCGAGGATAACCGAAACAAGACAGATTGAAGACAAAAGCCTCCATGATGAATATCCCACAATATACTCATTATTCAGCAGGAATGACTCACTCTAGATCTCAGCGACAACTCAACAAGAAGTTCAATACCATACTAAAACAATAATGTAGCACACACAGCACACAGTTTGTGTCCTACACTTTGTTGAGACTAATCTACTTTTATATCAGACTTACATTCCTGTTTTCAAGTGGCAGAACCCATGTGGTCAGGAAAAAGATACCATGATGCTCACATAAATGCTTTTTGACAGATTAGTACACTGTTATCACAATCAAGAGCTGTTTTTGTTACTTATAGATCTGGTGTATGTCAAAAATGTTGACTAAAGTTGCTGGGAGCCTGGTCATGTCTTCAAACGGTTCCTTTTCTGCAGATGAACTGATCCGATGATCAAAATCCACTCAAGCTCCCGTTATAGATTTGTAAAGATGTTTTTCTATTTTTGAAATAGCAAATGTATCAAACTAGGGCTGCAACAGCGAATCGATAAAATCGATTAAAATCGATTAAAATCGAAGTCCCAAGTCGAAGTGTCCCTGAGCAAGACACCTAACCCCTAATTGCTTCCTGTGCAAAAAATGTAAAAAGCCAAAAAGCCATGGGTTACAAATGTAATGTAAGTCGCTTTGGATTGGACCTGTAATGTAATGTAATGGATAACAGCGTCAGCAACATGACCTGTAATGTATAACCTAAATGATATTCTCTGTGACTAGTCGATCTGAGTGTGATGTTTAGTTCTCATTAAACAAATGAAAACACAGAGGAAACCCTGAGGACAGGTTAACAGTTTATACTGCAATGCCGGAAACCCACATGAAACATGAGTTGCAGTAAAAAATGCATGCAATACTGTACTTCACCTCAGCAGTCTACACAAACTTTTACTGCAGCTATACTCACAGATCCATAGGTAGTAGAGCCTTTTGCACATGGTACGATGTTGGTCTGGGATCTCATTGAAGTCTTGATAAAAACATGGCCTGAGGGGGATGAATCGAGGCAGAGGAGGGAAGTTGTTTTCTAGAACACAAAGACACGGTTCACAGAAATCAAGACAGCTGTGTGAAGGATTATAAATGGGTCGTTTTTTTGTGCACAGTCTGACATGCACAGTGTGAAGATGAACAGAAAGAAAAGAGCTTACCTGCCATGATGACCGTTCAGTTGTCGCCTCCACTTGTTAGACACAGACACAGATCTCAACTGTCTTGAAAATGAAACTGCAGAGAAATAACAGAGCTGTTTTATGAAGTGCATCATCACTCACTCACCCTGCTCTCCTTGTGGGAAACAGGGCCACAATCCTCCATTGGCCTCACTGTGGATGCATGCACACCCTTCACTGAAATAAAATACTTTAAATGCCTGCATGATTTTGTTAGAGGAGTTGCCATGGCCCTTTGCCATATCCATGTCTGACAGAGCACCATTCATTAAATTGACAAATGAACATGTTTGCTTGCTCACATATTACAGCTGTGTAATCCGCGATTGGGGGAGGGGGGCAGTGTGGCCTCTCTTGCTTTTTAAAATGTAGGCTATTCATAACCTAAAGCTATGGACGCAATTTAGGCCTACAGAATATACCGATTGGCACATGTATGACAAATATGCTTGCCTCGTGGATAATAAAGCACCAGATAGTAGTGGGTTACTGTAAAGCACATTGTAATGCATGTGATGGTGGATGGGGAGCATGTAGCTCTGAAGGACATCTTCCTGCCACACAATAAAGCAACCTGTGCCAATAAAATAACAGTCTGATCCCGGTCGATCCACATGCATTACGAGCCTTAAACGCTCCGCGGTGACTGCTCGGTTTTTCCGCCAGTGGCAGTGATGCTGCAGCGGGGCACAGTGCATCGTGATCACGGAGGAACGTCCTTCAGCCTGCACCTCACGGTGCGTCGGTGCTTCCTCTTCGAGCGGGTCGAACCCAAACTCCGCACAATGCACCATGGAGAATACAACGTTTTGGTGGTGGGGTTTTCATGAATCTAGAATCGGGTTTATTTTATTTATTTTAACAGCCTACATTCACCCCTCTCCCACACCCTTTCGCGCCCGAAAATGAATGGAAAAGCATTGATTAACGATTTACCTTCGTTCCAGTCAGTAAGTCAGTCAGTCAATATATGGATTCACCAGCATTAAAACGCGTTCGAGTAAAACGACCAGATCTGCAGCAGCTACGACAGCGTTGCGGTATTCCTGAAATGACGGGCTTGGGAGTAAGAGGTGGCCATGTGACGTCAAACCTTTTCTTTGTGTAACAGGTCTAAGTAAATATGTAAATCTTTTTTTGTTTTCAATTGTGTTTGGTTCAAGTTACTGTGTTTTATTTCTCCAAAATCCTTTTTCTGTCCTGTATATAATTAGCTTTGGTATTAGGAGTTATATTATTTTGTGTAACAGCACCCTCTTGGGTAGAGTGTATTGTTTGACTGGCATTGCGTGCCCTCGTCAGTCTGCTCACCGGTGGTTGAGGGGAGGTTACTGGTTGTGTATGGAGAAGAATCACGTCCATGTTTTTATTTGATTTCTGCAGAATAAAGTGCCTAAGGGAAGGTCAGCGTCCTGTTATTAGTGCACCTGAACACAACGCAGTAGTCGGCGAGGCACAGACTACATTTTCACACATCTCTCCTCTCCCCATCCGCTGGTTTTACCCATCTGAGCAACACCAAGGCCTAGAAAACTAGAGGTTTTGTTGCTTGCCGCATCTGACCAATCAGAAATCAGGAATATGTATACACAGGGTTCGAACGGTCATGGAAAACCTGGAAAAGTCATGGAATTTCAAAATGGTCATTTCCAGGCCTGGAAAAGTCATGGAAAGAAATAAAATCCTAAAAGTTTTGGAAAAGTCATGGACATTTGTTATATTTCTATGGTCGTGTGGTTAATTTAAGATTACGTTTGAAATCATTCATATGGTTTTAAAGAGACGCAGGACGATCTGATACTCGCAGCACAAATAATTCGCACCGCGGCTGTGTAAACGCGCCTTAACTGAAAAGTTCGGTAGCTCAGGAATCATCCAGTGTCAGGAAAGTGTAGATTTAACCGTGGTTGGCTACATATGGAAAAGTGCATCTCATGAGTTACGACAAACAAAGACCCGGGACGAGCAGAATGTAAGTAATGTGGAGGCGGAACATTATATATTTTAAACACGGGAGAGCGGCATTAACGAGCCGTGCTAAAGGAAGCAGCGCCGCTGCTAGCGAAGCTACTACAGAAACCCATCAGAGGGCGACTTCTAGCGAAGCCACCATGCCGAGCAGCACGTCTCTCTCTTCGCTACGTGCGCTGCCCGTCTGCTAGCAGCAGTTCCAAGTTGTAAACAGAGAGTATGGCGGCGTTGCTTCGGTGTTCTTTGTCATTGAGCCGTATTAAGCTGCAGACACGTGACTTCATTTTCCTCCTCGAATGACAGGGGATCATTGGATTCTTTTCGTTTTGTGTTTATTTTATGCTGCAATGCGTCAACATAATATACAATTACTACATTCTGTCACACAGCAGATAAACGATATGCTCTTGTGCCTAATGCAGCTCTTCTGTGTTGCACCTACTGCAATCGCGACGTAAATACATGGAGACACACAAGGAGCGCCAATCCAATATAAATGCGTAAAATACAAGTTACATATCTTTAGTTCCTGCACAATGACCATAAATTAAATGATTAATATTCCCAAAATTCCAATGAAGTAATACATACACTTCCGGCTCTTACAGAGACTGTATGTCTACTGTAAACTGTTAACAGTTCATGTATTGTCCATAATTTGAAGTAAAATAATGAAAAACAAGTATTGTTTTAGGCACCGTTTAGGCACCGGTATGTTTTATAAGTATCGTTTTAGCACTGGTATCAGGAAACCCCCAAAAGATACTCATCCATAGTGGATAATTGTATAATTATAACATCTTGAGACCGAATTGAATGGTGGGGAAAACACTGTATGCTTTGGTATTCTCATTGTTAGTTTAAATACTACATTTTCTCACTTTTTCATGTATACACTGAGATTTCATACTCATTTGGCCATGGAAATTGTGTTTGAAGTCATGGAAAAGTCATGGAAAAGTCATGGAAATCCACTGGTCAAAATGTGTATGAACCCTGTATACATGGCCCCCCCCTGATGCTTTCCACGGTGCTGAAACTCAATAAGGGCTTTACACATTAGGATCTGATTGGCCGCCTGTTATCACATTATCAAATATATCAGGCTACTATACAAATATCAGAGAAAAGAGAGGGTGTTATACTAGAATACCCAGTGAGCACAAGACGTAATTCCAACTTTGAAATCGGGTTGAAATGAGGTCTGAACGTCTAAGACCTCATTTCAACGTCTTTTCAACCGGCTAAAAAGTGGATGAAACATCAACGTGCCAAAAAACGACAATTTGTTTATAAGTGTGTCATGTTGTAATGTAAGGTTGAAAGAGAGATGATATTAACATTAAGATTTTCATAATAATTGGTGAAATTTGGTTTACGCGAAGATGTGATTTCAACATATTTAATATTTCACTTAAAACGTCATAAATATGAAACTACAGACTGTGTGTTGTTAATAAGATGCTTTTAAGACATAATAATTCGGGAAGTTTTAAACATTACTTTGCGCCTTGTATTCTAATGTTGGAATAATCCTAAATAAATTTGGTCTCATTTTAAAACACTCTAAGACTGCGTTTCATATTGTTGAACATATAAACGCTGTAGTCTGAATAATTTTCATCTGCACTGTTTGGTCTGTGACCCTCCGATCAGTGCCGTGCGGCTGCGGCGGCTCCACCAATCAGGATGTAAACACAGACACATTGTGGATCCGCCCTCCTGTTCGGATGGGTTCATTAGTTACGTTGACTTTTGGAGCTTTCTCTTAAGCAGGGGAAGTGTTAACTTGCAGGATGCCTTTTTTCATATTACACGGTTCAGGCAACTGTGGCAATTCAGTGGCAAATCAGTGGCAAGAAGAATAAAATGAGACGCAGAGATCCCTACTCTTTCCGTAAGAAGTTAATGTTGTTGTGCGTTCCTATTTGCCGTTGTGTTTTGCACTTTAGGGCCACCGTATTAAGAAAATGAAGGCCTCTGAAAACAGGCCCAGGCTGTTACATCACTGAGGGATCAAATCCATATTTAAGATGGGGGATGAGGACAAAGAACAGTTTAAACACAGGTCAGATCAAAACATGTTTTGAAGAACTTCAAATGTGCCACCAGGTCGAAAAATATTTTGAAAAAAAAGGCCAACCACAAAGGTAGGTTAATGTTATAAAACACAGGGCGAGAATGAGCGTGCGAGGTTGAGTGTGCAGTACAAATTCCACAACTGTCCTTTATTCACTGTAAAAACTGGGATTGGCGTTAATTAATATCTACTAAATAAATAATAGTAATTATTACATAATAAAAGAGAGAGCAGAATTTAATAAATGCTGCTTATTTATTAATTACATGTTACTTAAATTTGCTTGAGTAAAATCAGCTGTGAATCACTGTGTAGACTTAAATTCGAAGGTCTGTGAGAGCAAGATGACCCCCTTCCACAAACACAGCTGCAAACCCTAAATCTTTCTATCTCTCCATCTCAGGGTCAACCACTGAGACCTGGCTTTTAGCACAAGACAATTGTTTACAGAATGTTTTTACCACTACATGCATCTCACAATTCCCCCTTTTGATCTCTTCAGAGATCACCCCAATCTCTGGAGGACGTCTGCTGGATCCGCCTCCTCATCGTGTCTTGAATTGAGAAAGATAGAACAGAGAAGAGGATAGTTATACACTTATTCTTGGTCTTCTTGGTTGTAGACAGTCGACACAGATCACCATGCTCTAGGTGTCTGTCGGTCAACTGTCCGTTGAGAGTGCGTTTGGGGACCCTCCGGTGCCCGTTGCCACCTCTTGCTCCTGATCTTTCAGGACGTCCTGGCGAGTGCAAGCTGGTTCCTCTGCGGTGGCGCACTGGCTCCTGTGGTACCAGGTATCACCTTGTCCTCTCAGCCTCACTGCATGTGAGGTTCTTTCCTCCACCTGGTACGGTCTGACTTGCATACTCACCTGGCGGAGTTCCCGGGTTGGGCCTAAGCTTCAGGCCGGCACTGGGTCCAGGGAACTGTCTCCCGGTGGTCAGTTCGTACGGGGTGAAACCTGTTTTGCAGCTTGGTCTGCTGCCTGGTTTTCCTTGGCCACCATACTGTTGGTGTTCTCGTGTCCTTTGCACTTAATATTAGCCACGGTGCTCGGTAGAACCAAAGCTGCCGCCAGATAATCGGTTTTCCTCCAGCCGTCAGAAAACCTGCTCTTAACCACCGTCCCAGCTCCACATGAGCTGCTCCTACTGCATACGCCGATTCAGTATAGATGTTTACTTCCTTCCCTTCTGCCAGCTGTAATGCTCTTATCAATGCAAAGTACCTCAGCTCTTTGAGCTGACTGACTTCCCTGGATCCTTTCTGCTTCCAGAACCTCTATCCCTGCCCCATGGCTTCTGACTACCGCGTATCCCGACTGCAACCCCTTCTGTGGATGTCTAAAGCAGCTGCCATCAGTGAACAATTGCCAATCAGAGTGTATCAGTGGTGTGCCTTTTAAGTCTGTTCGCACTTTTGCTTCCAGTTCCACCTTATATTCACACTGAATATAAGGTTTGGAGCTTATAACAGCTTACTCAGCCTTCTTAATGACGTCATCGTAAAAGTTTGTGAATTTACGTAAGCTACTATGCTGTGTGTTGTTAGCACATGTAGTGGATGGCCCATGACTATGTGTGCTGTTTTCATTACAAGCTTTGCGACCCCTGCTGCGTGTTGTGTGCATTTATGGTGTCGTTTTTCCATGTTATCCAACATGACACTGCTATTGTCAAGTGTCTCACTTTTGTGAGGTTCAAACTGCCGCTCCCCACTTGAAAGGGCAACTTGCTAAGAAGTGTAGACTGGATTCCACTCAATGACCAAGATTCGGACTTCTTTGCTTTCTTGCTTTTTATTAAAATTGTCCAGATCAAACCAGGTGAAAAACCTTGAAATACAAACACGAATGGAAGGTCAAAGAAATATAACCCAAGAAACCATAATCAATTCACATACCCAACATCACATACTTAATTTATAATCTACTGGAAATTAACCTCAAAATAAGTAGAAAGACAACCCAAATTTAAAGTATCCCAAGACCAAATTAAATACATTTTTAAAACACTATT